ATAACAGAGGCTAAAGGAGTATGTAATTGTTCATTGACTTTGGCATATATTACATGCTATGTTTTGTTGTAAGCACAGAGGCTAAGCCAGTGAGCAAAACAGATAAAACCCCTGGCTTCATGGATCTTCGGTTCTAATGAGACAAGACAGAATATAAACAAACATATATAATGCATCAGGTTGTGACAAGTGCTTCAAAGGACAGTGAAGTTGAGTGTAGGGTAAATGAAGTGAATCAGGCTTTTTTACACCCTCCTGCTGCAAGCCCCTAGGCTACCACTTGTGGTCTTCCCTCTGCTAGGTTTTATAGATGCCTGGGTCAGAGAGGTGTGGGCACACACACCTGTGATTATGGACACCTGGGCCCAGAGGGCATGTGCAGTTGTAAGTGTGGACACTTCTGAGAGATGAGGGATAAATGGGTGTTGTCACTTTTAGGGGAGACTGTGAGATGACACAAGACTGAGGGGGAGAATGCCTCAGATTGCTGGCCGGTCTGACTCCTGATTCAGCATTAAAGACCTATAAAATCCACCGAAGCCTCAAAAATTTTCTTTTCTTCTGTGGGAACTGACCCAGCCTGGGATGGTTGTTCAACACAGTCAGATGAGTTTTGAGATAGAAGGCCAGGGAGGTCTCCTTGGATAAGGTGGCATTTGAATCAAAACCTGAAGAAAGAGGGAGTGCAAATCATAGGAATACCTGGAAGAATTTCCAAGCAAGTTGAATAGCAAGTACAAAGGTCCTGGGGAGGGAGTGTGCTTGGGGTGTTCTAGGAACAAAAAGTAGGGCAGGGTGGCTGCAGGGCACTGAGTGAGAGGGTGATTCATGCAGCGCCTTGCAGGCCTTGGTGAAGACTTTGGATTTTATTCTGAAATCACTAGAAGGTTTTGTGTAGAGCAGGGACAAATTCTGACTTACATCTTGGAAGAATCACTCTGTGTGAGGACAGACTAAGTGGGGCTAGAGAAAAGAGTGAGGGCAGTGAGGAGGCTACTATAACAATTCAGGGGTGGAATGATGGTGGCTTGAACCAGAGTGATAGCACTGAGGGTAGTAAGATGAGGTTGGATCCTGCATATATTTCAAAGATGGAGCTGACAAGAGAGATAGCATATGGGGTTGTGAGAGAAATCAGGAAGTTTTTGGCCTTAACTCAAGGTTTTGCATTCATAGAAGGGAGTGGCTAGTTCTGTTTAAGATAATCAGAGAAGGATTCAATTTGAGATTCTCTTTGAAACACTAACACTGTTGTGTGACTTACTGGCTTATTGAGATCATTTTGCCATCCCTGATCCCATGTCCCCACCCTAAGGCCACTCCTTTTTTGTGTTCTAGCAGCTTCTGCTCCATGGAATGAGGAAGTCACCTAGTTATATAGAGGTGCATCATGATTGTTTTTGGTCAATCATGGAAATTCCTTGCTCTTATCAGTTATTGGTTTAGAAATGGGCTGGCTTAGGAATGGGCATATACTTTAATTCTGGATAATGAAGCATAAAAGAGGACTCTACAGGTCACCTCCATGTCTGAGATGCTCTGATGTGAGATGATGTTATGTAAGGGCACAGTACTTGATCTGTGCTCACCATCTTGCAAAGACAAATGGGGAACCTGAGGTCAACAGCCAGTATGTTGTGGGTGACCGAGAAGAAAGGCTGGAAAAAGCATGCTTCCTTGAGGATATAGCTGAACTACGGAGTAACCCAATTCTAGAACTGTACCACTTCTGGACTTTTTATTAGGTGAGATTAAAAAATCTCCTTATCATCAAATGCATTTGAGTTGGGTGGCTTGTCCTTGAAACAGAAGCTACATCATTTTAGATGCAACACAGACTGTGGATGGGAAGATATAACAAAAGTATAGATACTTTGATATGTAAGCTCAAAGTATACTTGGGAAAAGGAGTTGGAATAAGAGGAGTTCATACACTCATTCAACAAATACTTGTGGAGTACCTACTATGCACAGACACTGTTGCAAGAGCTGGGATGCTGTGGTGAACAAGGTAGACAGGCTCCCCCTTCTTGTGGAGTTTGTTACCTGGTGGAGGAAAGATGGTAATAATGGAAACAAAACAAGAATAATTTTAGGAAGTTGTAAGAGTGATGAAGGAAATAAAATATACTGATGTGACCGAAAGTGATGAGGGGGTTGCCGTAGGCTGGACCTAGTAGATTAAGGGAAATTAAAGAGGAAAAGAAGTTGGGCAGGTCAAGGAAGTGAAATGAAGCTGGTGTGGCTGGAGCTCAGGCAGAGAGCGGAGAAAGGAGTGGCCAGAGAGAGAATCAGTGTCTGCCTCTATGGACGTGGGGCCAAGGAGGCATGTGGATTTTATTCCAGCCAGAAAGAAAGTTCACTGGAGGATTTTAAGCAGGGGTGTGATATGATGTTTTCATCTGTCAGTTGATCTGGTGGCAGCATGGATGGACCCAAGTGGACGGGTATGGAGGACAATGGGTTAGAAGGCCAGGGAGATAGAAGGCCAGGGAGGTCCCCAAGGATAAGGTGACATTTGAATCAAAACCTGAAGAAAGAGCGCAAATCATAGGAATACCTGGAACAATTTTCCAAGCAAGTTGAATAGCAAGTACAAAGGTCCTGGGGTAGGAGTGTGCTTGGGGTGTTCTAGGAACAAAAAGTAGGGCAGGGTGGCTGCAGGACACTGAGTGAGAGGGTGGGGAAAGCAGTTACTGCCAGGTAAAATTCCTTTCATTTTATTAGCCCAAGCCAACATTGTGGTTCATTTGAGAATTTCAGGCCTGGGAGTAATGACATTGGGGCAATAATTGTGGCAGAGTCCGTTTCCTCTGCTGAGCTATATCCTCAGCCTTCCTCCCTCCTCCTTTTGTTAGAACAAAAAGTCATCTTTGCCACTATAATAGATACAAAAAAAAAAAAAAGTAAATGATGTTGATTGAAGAAATGAGATTCCCCAAGTAGCTGGTGACATTAGGTTAGGGAAATTCAAGGGCAGTGCCGTACGAAAGAAATAAAATGTGAACCACATAGGTCAAAATTTTCTAGCAACCACATTAAAAAAGTAAAAAAAAGTAAATAGATGAAATTAACTTTAAAGTTTATCTTATTTAAGCCAATATATTGAAAATGTTATTTCAATATGGAATATAAAAACTATTCACGATCTATTTTCTTTTATTTTCTTGTAAATCTCTGAAATTTGGTGTGTGACAGGTGAGGCACATCTCAGTTTGGACTAGCAATGTTGCAAGAGCTCAGTAGCCCCAATGGCTAGTGGCTACTGTGTTAGAAGGCACAGGATAGGAATGTGTCAGGATGGAGCCCTGGATTTGGGCACTGGCTTCAAGCTTCTGCTGCTCTGCTCTGGACCCATTCTCTAAAAGAGATGTATTTGGGCAAAGGGTGTGAACATTTTTAGGATATTATTTTCCTAATCAATTATATCCGTTTATGATACCCACAATGAAACAGGTGCCAGCATCACTGACTCAGGTTTGGGAATTTTCATTTTAATTTTGGAAGAAGTTAATTTGGTAAAATTAATTAATTTAGTAAAAGAAATAGCATTCTTCTTTTAATCTTCTCTTTTTGGTAACTAGACAAATTAAATTTTTTCATGTACTCATTAATATTTGCCTTTTTGTGAGTTTTGTTACTGGGCTTGTTCAGTTATCTGCTGAAGTCTTACTGTGAATGTTATCAGTGTGTTTGAGTTCTTGAGATAACATGATGTTAATCCTTTTTTGATCTTTTTTTGTAAATACAGTAAGTCTTCAGTGTTGTTAGCTTTTTGGAAGCTACAACTTTAGGCAAAACATGTAAAGAAAGCAGGTTTTCAAATAATGCCACTTTATTCAACATCATTTTGTTGTAACATTTATAAGAAAGAAAAAAGTCGTGGCAGACACTGAGTAGAACAACATTTTTCAAGGACCTGCTATATAAATATTCTACTATGTTGCTTGTTTTTTATTTTGATGACTTTTTTTAAAAATTTCTTTAAAATAAGTTTATGCTGTCAAAGTACTTTTGTTTTTTATCTCTGCAGTAATACTATTGCTTTCTAAAGCTCTCCAGTAGTGTTTTGATAAATATTCAATTCTATTTACTTCTGGATTTCATAGACTTAAGTATATTTAAGTTTTGAAATCAAATCGAATTCATTTTGATGTGCAGTGGGAAGTATGGGTATAAATTCTTCCCTTCTTCCCAAATTGCTGATGAGTTAGTCCTCTACCACTTACTGGAAAAAAACTTAATCTCGTTACATAGTGATAACTTTATCATATACCAAATTTTTTATAAAAACTAGGATGTATTCCTGATCTTTATATTATACTTCAGAAATCTATTTTCACACCAAGACTTCACTATCTTTTATTCATTTTTATAGAATTTTAGTTTTGATAGATCTTGTGCCCTTCCTACCTATTCTAACGTCACTCCTCTCCCTAGTACATTTTCTTTTTGGATTGTTTAGCATTTTTCTTTCTCTCTCTTTCTCATATGTTTAAAAACTTCCTTCTGGAGTTTTTGCCAAGATTCTTCTAAGTCTTTATCTTAAATTGTAGGAAACAGATATTTATGTAATAGTCAGGCTTCCCATCTAGAAGCATGTGTTTTTCCATTTATTCATGCTTTTTAGGCAACATGGAAATCTTTGTGGTTTACTTTGTGAAGAAATGTACATATATATGTAAGTATACTTGGCTACATATCTAGTATCTTAGTTTGGGTTCCACAGAAACAGACTCTGAGTGGGGGAATCGTCAGCAGGTTTTCATAGAAGTCACACCTGTAATAAGCTGTCTTGCAGTGCAATGGCACCTGGGAGCTTAGCTGATTTTGGAGTGTGTGTGTGTGTGTGTGTGTGTGTGTGTGTGTGTGTTTATGATGGGGATTGAGGAGGATGCTCTGGAGCTGAAATAGGAAAGAAGGTTTAGTAGTTTACAAAGAAAACACAATATTTTAGCAATTTAAGGTGTTGATCATCTTATTTTCTCTTCTCGGCTCAGTCACAGGCAGCCAGATCATGCCATGACGCTTGGGAAGCGTGGAATCAGACCAAGGAGGGAACTGACTTGGCTCCTAACTAAGGCAGGTTAGAGCTCTCCAAGGCTGGAGTGTATGTGGGAGTCTGTTCAGTTATGTTGAGGGGGAACTGGTGTGTTTTCCTGGCTAATTGCCTCCTATATGCTGGGTCTTTTCCCAAAAGGGTACAAGTTTCTGTTTAGTGCACTACTCCTGCAGTATTTCCCCCTTCCCTGAACTCACTCTCGCGCAACCTGGACTGGAATATTGGCCCTTTTCAGTTTCCCCAGTCACACATTTAAATTTACCCTCTCTAAATTTACCCCAATATATAACTAATTACATTTGTGATGTGGAAATATGACTCATTTAAAGATGGACTTGAACTCAATTTTCTTGGGAGACATCTTATTGTGATCTTTATGGACCAACAACAGCTTCTATAAAATATGGTGTACAATATTAGGGGCCAATATCTCTATTTTTAAAGGAATGAACATTAAATATTAAATATCTTTTTGCATTTATAGAAATAATAAAATTTACTAGTCTAATATCCTGTGATATTCTTCAGTGTAGGTATTCTTTTATTACTGGGATTAACCTCATCCTTCTATTAATGAATCATTTTTGATAGTTAATAATGCACTTTGCACACAATTCTGAAGGTAAAAATAGGTATATAATGAAAGTCAGTCTCCCTTTCTCCTCTGACTTTCTTCTACTTAATGACCCTTCTTAAGGCAGCTCATGTTACTCAGTTTTTGTGTATCATTCCAGACAAAGTTTTATGCATTTTCAAATATCGTGTATACACAAATATTAGCACACCATTCTGTATTATTCTGCATATGACTTGTCACTTACCAATGTTTTTTGAAGCATTCCCATACCAATATATACACAATTGTTTGATTTTTTTTAATGGATTCATATAATTTGATATGAACATAATGTGATTTATTAATTGGTCTTCTACTGGTGGCTAATTGGATATTTTTTAGTCAGTTTGTATTCCCAAACAATGCTATAACTAGTGTCCTTGAACATCTCATTTTGGGCATATTGAGGTATATTTATAATATAAATACTTGTTGAAGTAGAGTCATTGGATCAAGTGCATTTTTAGTTTTGAGAGGTATTGTCAAATTATTTTCCATAGATTCATACCATTTATAATCCACCCTGCAACAAACAGGGTGTACTGGTTTTCCCTTGATAATGTTGGATATCATCAACCTTTTTATCTTTGTCAGTTTGGACATGAAAAATGGTATCACATTGTAGGTTTTTGTGTGTGTAGAAGAACTGGGGTGTAGGCCAGAGGTACAGGGGGTGGGTGAGAAGATTCACCAGAGACAAAGTGGGGAACAGAAATATACTGAAATATACTGCTGAAGATCCACTGAAATATACTGCTAAGGGGACAGCGGGCAAGACAGGAGAGGTCTGCTGTGCCTCGTGGGGAATAGAACTCAGACAGTAGTGGTGATAGCGCTGAGACTTAACCCTTAGGCTACCACAGAGGCCTGGGGGTTTTAAACTGCATTTCTCTTTTAAAGATTGAGGTTGGATTTTTTTCATATGTTAACAGTCATTTGTATCACATCTTGAAGCTATCAATAAATTTGTGACATAGTATGACCTGTTCTTGGCAGCCTAATCCCACTGTAGAACCCAGAACATGCCTTTTATATCTCTGTAGCTTTTGCCTTTGTTTAGGTTCATTTTGACTACTAGTAACATAAAGCCCTAACTCAACTGATTTTAATAATAAAGAAAATCTATTATCTTATATGACATCATGTGCTTGGATAGAGTAGCTCTAGGGTTGGTTAATTCGACTCCCATCAAGGTCTTTGAGGTCCCTGGACTTTCTGATTTCCACCCTCCACCTAGTTCACCTAATGGTCATAATGCATTATAGCCAGGCATCCCATTGAGACAATGCAGCATCCTGTAGATGAGGACTGTTTCTTACCATGAGAATCTTTGTAAGAATAAGGAAATTTTCCTGAAGTTTCCTCCCAGAGGCTTTGTCTTTGACTCTCATAGCTCTACCTGGATTTTATGCTCATTCCTAAACCAATAACTAGGCTGTACTATCATAACACGTCCATTTTTTTTTTTTTAAGATTTATTTATTTATATATGCTTTATTTATACAAGCACTGGGTACAGTCAGAAGCGCAGGAGGGTGAGAGAATTCACCAGAGTCAGAGCAGAGAGCAGAGCAGGCAGAATGATGAAGTTCACTGCTGAGGGGAGCAGCGGGCAGCAGGAGAGGTCTGCACGCTATGTGGGACCCTCACCCGGTGGCCGGGGATCGAACCAGCACTGCAGAGGCGCGGGCAGCTTCGCAAGCCAGCGCTCTACCGCTGCGCCACCGGCCACCGGGGAGGCCCCATAACAGGACCATGTTAATTAAGAATCCCCCTGTATTACATGGAGTAGGAGAGGATACTCCCCTGCATCCCTCCCCCAATAATTGGGGGCACTGACAATGAGAAGCATGTAGATTGGCTGTAGGGAGACCATCACCTGTGACTGTCACAACTTTGCACATGTTATTTTCTTTACCTGATATAGCTCTCCTCTATTCATCCTCTTACGTAGTTACTACATAAGGGTGATAGATAACTGCCCTCTGCTCCCATGGCACTCTGTGCCACCCACTTCATATCGCATTGTAATTCTGGCTTCCTGTTTCAGTTAGGCACCTCAAGCCAGCTCCTTCATGGCAGAGATTGGTTCTGGTTTGTTTCTGTATGGCTTGCCCTTAGGGCAGTGCACAGTGTGAAACAAATACTTAACTGATGCTTGCTGGATAAAATCCATTTGCTAGTATTTTATTTAAAAATTTCAAGTCTAGATTCACAAAAGCCCCATTCATAACTTTCCGTTTGTAAATGGTTTGTGTTTGTGTGTTGAGATTTGGAATTAGGATTATCTTTTCCACATAAAGCAAACTGGAGTTTCCAGAATACATTGTTTAACTTGTGGATTATTGGTTCTGTTAAAGTCCAGAAGTCCAACTAGTATTTCCTGAACACATGTTATGTGTGGGACACTGTCTCAGTTGACTCTTTATACAGAGTCTTATGTTTAAAGTCAGCTGAGTCAGGGTTTTATGTCAAAGAATTTTTCAACTTCAGGTTAAAATCTGTTTGTAGTTAATGACATCAGTTTTGTGGGTCAAAGCCATCATTAAAAGGAAGAAAGGAGGGCCTCTCTGGCTCAGGGGTTAAGTCTCAGCACTGTCAAGCTATCCCCAGCCAATGCTACATGAGTTCGATCCCAGGCCAGGGAGCTGACCCACATGGCACAGCAGACCTCTCCTGTCTCACCTACTGCTTCCCTCAGCAGTGTATTTCAATAAATCTGCCTGTGTGCTCCTTACTCTGTCTCTGGTAAATCCTCTCACCACCACCCCCACCTCACTTCGCACCCCTGCTCCCCATCTCTGGCCTAAACCCAAGTTCTTGTAAGCATACATAAATAAAATCTTTAAAAAAAGGAAGAAAGGCATACAATAGAGTTGAACAAAATATATCAGTATATCACTCCTGTTGAAACATTTGTTCTAGTTACATGCATATATGAATACATATATGTATTTTGATCTATTTATCTATCTATGATCCCGGATTATGATATAAAATGTATCTTTTACTATGGGTGACAGTCAAAACATTTATAACCATTGCTCCAAGGGCCACCACATTTTCTTTCCTCTTTGTCTTTGAAGTATGTGTTTTTTTCTCCCAATGTTTGGACTCCCTTAAAAGAGAGAAAGACAGGGCTTTAAATTTCTGCCTCCAACACCACACTCCCGTCCTGAGTCAGTACCCCTGCCTTAGATTCAGTTAGCTTAGCACACATTTGAGAGTCAGGAAGCAGAGATCAATGCTACCCCAGGACTAAGATCTCAGTAGCTTTGGGCAAGTCACTTTCAGAACATCTGTTTTTTTCTTGTGGCATGGAAATAACAGTAACACCTGTTTCATAAGGCAATTAAGAAGATCGAGTAGAATATATGAAAACATGTTGTTTACTAAACTTCTTTCAGTTTCTCAGAGGAGAAAAGCAAACCTCACCTGTGGGTTAAAAAAATTTTCTCTCCTGGGCCCTTCCCTGGTGGTGCAGGGGGTTAAGTTGCAGCACTATGAAGCTATCTGCAGCCACTGCAGAACAAGTTTGATCCCTGGCCAGGGAGATGACCCACAATGGCACAGCAGAACTCTCCTGACTTGCCTGCTGCTCCTCTCAGCAGTGTATTTCAGTGGATCCACCTTTTCTGCTCCCCACTCTGTCTCTGGTGAATCCTCTCACTACCACCCCCCACACCTCTGACCTACACCCCAGTTATTGTATGCATAAATAAAAAATTTCGCTCCTAAAAAGGGAGAAAAACTTCAGGGAATGGCTCTTAGAGGAAGTTACAAGGAGACTCAATGCCCAGAGACTGCAGATGTTTGAATCAAACGTGGTAGGGGTTATTAGCAAGAAAAGGTCGGGGTCTCCCCATCTAGGAACAGTTCTTTATCTCCTCCTGGGGCACACTGTCAGGAGGTGTCTGGAAGTGCTGGCAATGCATGCTGCTGAGTCAGGAGAGAGTTGCTGACTTTTCATAAACTTTGGAGGAAGGACTGGACGTTGAACTTGGTCCTGCCTTCCCCCTGGCAGGAGGTGTGGAGGGGGTCACCCAGCCTGGACACAGCTCTGGCTGGAAAATGTGGTGTGAGGGGTGAGATGGGGACAGAATGGGATGGGGTAGGGTAGATGGGGAGGTGGCTCAAAGGAGAGGAAGCCAATCTGAGTGACTGGTCTGTCCTGAGGTCATTCCTCACACACCACAACTCCTCTCCTCTGGTACTGTCTCTGAACAATGTCACAGAGGACAAGCTGGGTACAGGCTGTCTTGAATGCTCATTTCCTCCAGCTATAAGCAATCCACCTCCCTGGAAAACTGCAGTCTGTACAGCCTGGGTTCTCCTGTCATCAGCGCTATTAATAGGAAGATGTATTAACAGTTAAAACGTCTATGTATTAACAGATGTGCTTCTGCAA